AAAAAATTGGAAATTCGCTGTACTTTTGTTCATTAGGCTGTTAAGCAGTGATTCTAAGGCACTGACAACAATACCAGATTCTCCATCTCTGGGGCTTGGCAACAAGAGGTGGTCAACATGCAGCGTGGGAAGCAATTCCATAGATACTACAAGTGATTCTCCAGAAACACCTGAAAATTATGACGAGGTGTGTGGGGAAGCAGATACTTATCATCAGTGGGGACAACTCATCGGCAACTGGTCTGATGCTCAACGGAAGAAACCTAAGTTTGTGCGAGACATGGTCAGGCGAGGTGTCCCCAATGCTTTGCGTGGCATGGTCTGGCAAATGCTCTGCGAGGCAAGGGATTTTCCTCTTAGAGATCAGTATCCTCAGCTCATTAAGGTAATTTTGGAATTTCAGGTAACTTTAGAGTTGTATGTACACCATACTGATGAATTCACAACTACAATTACAATTGTAATGGTGTACTTCATTTGCTCATCAGTACATATGTATGTACCACTAGACTTTTTCTGTACTGTCATTAAAAGTGATAGAACAGTAACTGTTGTACACAATGCACACAATGTGGTGATCTGTCTCAGTATGTAGATCCTATTTTGTTCCTCAAGTGCAAGTTTAAATACATGAAGTAATAATAATAATTATTCTTGAAATGCTTCTTTGTTTGTAGAGTAATTCAGCCTGTGAAAGGATGATTAAACGGGATATTGCTAGAACATTTCCTGATCATTCCTTCTTTAAAGATAAAGATGGCATTGGGCAAGGAACTCTTTTCAATGTCATTAAGGTAAAACTGAATGATTACTGCTTGCATATCTGACCCAGTATGAAAAGAATCTTTAGACTGTTCAACAGGCACATGTACTGTACATGTATGTAGGTTAAGCACAGGTGTAGATGGTGCATGTACAAGACATAGTATGTCTTTGAGTTTCACCTGGACAAAAAGAAGTAGCTGTGATAAGGAGGTGACTGTATTAATTAACAACATGACTGTGAGGTGCCCATCTTGCAGAGTTCCACTGGATTGAAATCCTTCAACTGGAAGATTTTGTCAATTGAATATTTTCCAATTGAAGGTTTCAGCATACAGTGTAATGGAAAGTCTATTGTAGTTTATTATAATATCTGATCAACTGATTCAACTGTGGGGGTTTATTTCTTCAGTTTATTTGAATACTGCTGTTGTCTGTCAAGACTTTTAATTATTTCCACTACTCTGTGGAAAGGCCAAAATTTATGTACATACTGTAGAAAGTGAATTATGGTGCATGTAAAATACTTGGCAATTATTGTTACTTATATTTTGTAGTGGAATTGGCCATAGACCATGGAAAACGGTATTACATGTACACGTATTTATCAGGTTGGTGTTTTTTGATAATTGTTTAATCCAGGCATACTCCATCTGGGATAAGGAAGTGGGATATTGTCAAGGAAGTGCATTCATTGTTGGCATATTGTTAATGCAGGTAACTATAATTAATGCAGAACAATATTTGAACTAGTACAATTTAGCTTTATTTGGACCGGCATAGTTTTTATACTACCTTTCTTTTGTAATAGATGCCTGAGGAAGATGCATTTTGCGTATTTGTAAAGCTCATGCAGGATTATAGAATGAGAGAGATCTTTAAACCAACAATGGCAGAACTTGGACTATGCATATTTCAGCTAGAAAGCATGTTGCAGGTATGAAACCTGCTCAGTGGTTGTCAAGTAATGTTAATTGACTTGTCATTTATTTGTTTATTAAATTACACCATTGATTAATGAACTTATTGAGAGTTACATGTACAAGTAACTGCCAAAACAAAAGACGCTATCACGTTGCACCGTTTCAACCAGAACTATCATTCTAACATTTATTAGTATAAATCTAGTAGAGTTCTATCACGAATGCTGTTCTCTGATTGGCTACGCTACTCACTATCTATCCTGTGATAGATGGTGAGTAGTGTAGCAACGTGCCCTTGTTAACAAAATGATGGCCGCTTCTTGACATTTTCGAAGTGTCTGTGAAGAGGATTTAGATAAAGTTTTGAACGACTAGTAGATTTATACTAAAACAATTAGATTACGGGTGGCGAATGGTACCCAGAAAATCGTGGATCTCGGAAATTCTTGATCCTATCTCGGAATCTCGGAAGCTTTTGTGACGAGTCACGAAGTCTCGTTTTTCATGTGTTTCTTTCGGTCTCGGAGTCTCGAATTTTTATCGCAAGGTCTCGGAGTCTCGGATTTGCTTTTTTAGCAGAGGTTCTCCGGCAAAAGTTATCGCGTTGAGCGAGCAGGGTCAGTGTTGCTGAGATTAAACATGGCGTTTACGCAAAACGGCGGCAAATGCGAAACTTTTACTTCTCTTATTATTATCATGAGAACCCGCAAGCCTTAGCAACTGGTTCTTTCCGGCGGCCATGGGTACACAAAAGTTACCCGATTACGCAATATAATACAATACAAGCGTTGATAGATCGCGCAATACGATGCTTCGGAGACCTTGGCAAACGAATGTAACGAATCATTCAC